AGGAGAACCTAGAATTTTGAGTTTTCCCCCTTTTCTGCAGGGGATATATATCAATGTCTGCATCTCGGTTGGTGTCTATATCTGGTAGCTCTGGTGGCCTAGTGATAAGAAACTGTGCTGCAATCCCAAAGGCCCACGATTCAAAGCCCTCCATGGGAGGGGGATATGCAATTGATAGCCTCTGAAGACCTGTTGGAGGGTCAGCTCTGGGTCAGTTCTGACTCAGCAGCACCCAACAAGATGTCTGTATCTGTACTGTTGTTATACGCCGTGGAGTTGGATCTGACTCATAACTGGGCCTCCGGTGGGTTTTCCGAGGCAATAAATCTCTCAGGAGACTGCCAACTTTTCTCCTGTGGAGCAGCTGGTAGATTTGAACCGTGTGCCTTTGGGTTGGCAGCACAACGCCTTACCACTAAGCCACCAGAGCTCCTTATTCATAGTTATGTGTCTATGTCTATCTATATCTCTGTGGTTATTGTTATGTACCATCAAGTTGGAACCGACTCATAGCTGACCCTCCAGCAGGTTTTCAGAGGAAGAAATAGCCCTTCTTTCTCCTGTGCAGCAGCTGGTGGACTTGAATGCATGCCTTCAGGTTGGCAGTGCAGCTCCTTACCGGCTAGCCAGCAGAGCTCCTCAGTTATCTACCTAGAGTTATATCTCTCTGGCTGTGTCTCTATCTATCTATCTATCTCTCTATCTCTCTATCTATCTATCTATCATCAGTCGATCTATCTATCCATCTATCTATCAATCACTTTATCTAATCTATCTATCTATTCTATCTTCTATTATCTATCACCTATCTATCATCTATCTTTCTTTATATCTATCTATGTATCTTCTATCTATCCATCTTTTTTCTTTCTTTTTATCTATCTTCTGTCTATTATCTACCTATCTTCTATTATCTATCATCTGTCTTTCTATCTATCTATTATATCTATCTATCTAGCTAGCTAGCTAGCTCTATCTTCTATTATCTATCTATCCATCCATCCATCTTCTGTCTATCCATCCATCCATCTTCTGTCTGTCTATCTATCTATCTATCTATCTATCTATCTATCTATCTATCTATCTATCTTCTATCTCTCTATCTCTATTTCTATCTTCTATCTATTATCTATCTAGCTTCTATTATCTATCTATCATCATCATCATCTATCTATTCATATCCATATCTTTATCTGTCTATCTCTCTTTTGTGGCTCTGTGGTTAAGGCTGGCTTGCTAACTGAAAGGTCACTGGTTCAAACACACTAGCTGCTCTGCTGGAGTAACCCCATATAGATTACAGCCCTAGCAACCCCATAAGGCAGTTTTCTTCTCTGCTGTGGGGACAATACAGGTTGGAATTGATTTGATAGCAGTGTGTATGTGTATATGTATATGTGTGTAACACAGCCTTGGCCATCATAGTGTTTTGTTGGTTTTTTTAAAAATTATTCTACTAATTTATTTACAAAATTCAAATACATTGTTTTCGAGAACAGATTCTTCCAATTTCCCTCACTCACATACCCTTCAAATTGTATAATTCCCATGATTAATGCCCCCTCCCCCTACACATCCTAATCCCTCTGCTCCCCCGCCCCTTGGGTCCTTATATTCATTCTACATTAATGGTTTTATACAATATTTGTCCTTGTGGGACTGAGTTCACTCAGCATAATGCTCTCCAGTCCCTCCCAATTTAGGCAATAATTTACATCATAGAGTTTTTATGCATACCTATCAACAGTATTAACTACATTCATCACACTTTGCAGCCATCACCACCACTCTTTCCAAAATTTTATTATCACCTCGACAAAATCTTAATGTCCCCGGAGCTATAGTCAAAGGGTGAAAACAGCCAGAAGAGTCATCAATACATGAACAAGACAGCAACACGTACGTACACAAAATGAAGTATTGCTCAGCCAGAAATAGAGGCTGCAATGCGGATAAACCCTTTTATTGCATTTCGGCAATTCCAGGTCGTTGCAATGCAAGTGCTCCCCAGAACATATTAGAGAGATCAGTTTAAGTGATAACAAAATGAAACCTACTTCAGAGATAGTTGGAGACACTTCTGGGTCCCTCCTGCAATGACTGGAGTTCATTATGGGACCTGAGATATGTCAGTTCCCATCTGAACTCTACGGCTTAGCTGCCACGTTTCCATCTGGCATCTGAATTTTGATCTACGCACCCCCTGATGTGGTCCACACGGTGGGAATTAGACCGGCCGCCAGAGGACAACAGAAGGCCACAAGTGGTGATGGGCTTCAGCTAGAATGTATAGAAGCAGCCCCAGTTTTTGTAACTTCACTGTTTGTTTCTTTTTTGTTTGGTTTTTTGTTTTGTTTTGTTTTTGTTTTCATTCATTCATTGTTGCACTGTTTTCTCTACCCTCCTCCCCAGTTCGTTCTTCTTCCCCCACCCCCGAATGTCTTTTTTAATTGTCCAATTGCCACAGTGCTTGTCAAAGCCAGTTTGGATTAATCTCCTTTGTCAGTGTGTCCTTTGCCATTCCCTATCACTCCTCCCTGAGAGAGACTTAACTTCACTGTTTCAAAATTGGCTCCGGGCAGATGTTCGTTTTGTCTGGATTACGAAAGAAGCGTATTTGTTTCTCACAATTACAGGGTTTATTAGGGAAGAAACAGGTTGCAGTTTGGTTCACAACTACTCAGGGTGCAGTTCTTCAATCAGGACAGCTTTCTCATGGGCTTGTTTGCAGACAGACCTCTCTCTGGCCTCTTGAGTTTGGACTCTGCCCCAACAAGTCTTACAAAACTCTTTCAGTTCTGCTATTTAGGGGTCTCTGCCCCTTTCCCCTGTCTCTGCCACGAAGCCTAGGCTAAAGCTCGCTGCTCTGGTTCTGGGAGGCGGCAGACAGAGTTTAGCTTGGTATGTATTGCTTTATGCATATTTCTACTATTATATAATATACAATAAATGATATTTTATCTTTAGATAAATTATTACATAATATTTATATAGAATTATAAATCATTATGTAACAATTGTTGTTGTTATGTGCCGTCGAGTCGCCTGCGACTCATAGCGACCCTATGTACAGCAGCCCCAAACCCAGCTCTATTCTGTGCCAAGCCTATTGTCTCTGACACACCTACTCCGCTACCCCAGTCACTGAGTCAGTCTATCTCATCCAGGGTCTTATTCTCCTGCACTGTCTCTTCACGCTCCCAAGCATGACGTCTCTCTCCAGGGACTAGGTCCTGATTGGCTCGCCGGAGGCCTTTTGATGGGAGCCCAGGGGAACTTAAAGCATGGGTGGACCTGTGGCCATGTTAGAATTCATTTGGGCCTTTCACGCCTGCGGCCCTCGGGCCTGATTGTTATTATTTTTTGAAATGAACACTCGTAAGTGTTACAGCACTCTTCTGTCATTTCTCTGTATTGAGGTAACTTTGGATTGCTGTGATACTGAACATTGTGCCATTGGTCTGTCAAGTGCCATAAAGGTTACACAAGATTGACAATATCTGGTTAGCTGATTAAGACAGGCTTGGAAGCAGGAGTGGCATCCACTTCCTAAACATGCCTGTGGAAACTCTATGAACTTAGAGAAAGGACAATAGTTATAGAACAAGGTTAAAGTCTTTTGTTTATGAGGTTAGTAATAGATGGCACTTAACAACAACAATATATATTGCAAAGCCCTTGTTTTCCATTTTTTACTTCCATTGGCTTGCCGCTGTATGATGGCACTCTTGTTTTGGTTGAGGGTCTGTGTAGATTGTTTTCTTTATTTAAGCTTCATGTTTAGAGTCAATATGACCTCCAGGAGGACACTTGAATTTAAGGCCAAGGCCTTGTCTCCATTTTGGAAACTCGGTGGAGCGACTAGACTCTGTAAAACGGGCTCTCTTGTTTGGGTTGAGGGTCATTGTGGAATATTTGGATGGGTTTGTTATGGGTTTTTATATTGGGGTTTTTTTTTATGTGTCAAATGCAATAACGGTTACCCATGGCAGACAGTGTTTGGCGGAGCTCCCCAATTAACACAGGCTTGGAAGCAAGAGTGGCATCCACTTCCGGAATAGCTTGCCTCCGGAAACTCTATGAACCTGGAGAAACGATGGAAGTTATACAAGTGTTCAGGTCTTTTGTCCAGAGGGTCACTTTGAGTCGTCTATGACTCAACAGCACTTAACAACAACAATGATAATTTTTAATTGGCAAGCATGCCTTCATTCACATACATTGTGTCTCATTCATGTACATTGTATTGTATACAACCATGCATATACATTCTGCTTCATTCATGTAATTGTGTTTCACTCAGTAGTTCATATGTATATACTGTGTTTCATGTAATGCCTTAGCATTGATCTGAATATCCTATGGAAGGCTGAAAGAACCAACACGTGTCTGGGGGAAAGTGCAGCCAGGATGCTCCTTGGAGGCAAGGATGGCGAAGCCTCGTCTCACATCCTTTGGGCGGGTGACCAGGAGAGGCTAGGGACATCGTGGAGAGGGACATCACGCTTGGAAAGGTGGAGGGGCAGTGACAGAAAAGAAGACGCCCATGGAGATGGGCTGGCACAGTGACAGCAGCAACGGACTCGAGTGTGTCAGAGATGATGAGGCTGGCGCAGGACAGGGCAGGGGACAGAGCTGTTGTCACAGGGTCACTGTGAGTCATGCTCAGCTCGACAGCACCTAACAACACCACTGTGGCTTTATCACCTCCTCTCTTCACGTCCCTATTGCACCTGGCCTATTCCTTCACCATCCCTATCCGCCCACTAACCTCTGTTGACTTTGCAGACATAGATCTCCAGGCCTTTCTTCCTCGGTGCCACTGCCTGAGTGCTGACCCAGACGGCAAAGGGTTTAGATCAGCGAGCTGCCTGTGCCTTCCTGAACCCAGATTTTTCCGTGACAAGCCAGTGTTTTTTTCCCCAAGGTGCTCTTGTGGATAGTCCACGGAGGCGTAGAAGGAGTGGTGGCCCCACAAGTGACCCACTCTCCCCTTCTAGATTGCTGACCTGACCACAGAGCTGGCCGAAGAACGCTTCAAGGGGGACGTGGCCTGCCAGGCCCTGGAGGGCGAGCGGGCAGAGCGGCTCCAAGCCTCCCGCAAAGTGCAGGAGCTGAAGGTGAGGGCTGGGGTGTGACGTGGCGGAACAGGGAGACTGGGGGTGGTTCAGACTTCTCCCTGGGGCAGCTATCTGGAGTCCGTACGCCTAATGCACAGACTTACTGACTCTAATGCCCAAGGTCCTGGGGACCATCTGGGTCTCTTATGAGGTGTTTGTGGCCCAGTGGTAGCGTTCTCACCTTCCATGTGGGAGATACGGGTTTTATTCTGGCAGCTGCACACCACAGCCACCTCCTGGCTGCCTACTGGGCTGTGATGCTGACAGGTTTCAGACTAAGATATTCAAGGCCGCAAAGCTTGGCGAGCTGGTTATCAGCTGCAGACACACTGCAGATCGCAGCACAACGCACCCTCTCTGGGGAGCTGAGGCAGGCCAGGGCCGCACTGCGTTCGTTGGCCGTGAGGTCCCTTTGAATGGGCGTGGGGAGCTGCGGACACAGTGGCAGCTAACAGCGTCAATTCTGGACTTTGGAGCCACCATGGGTGGGAGCTATGCAGAGGACTGGCCATTCCCGCTTCAGCTCTTACACCTCCAGCACTTTTCTTCCAGAGCAAGTATGAGCAGGTGCAGAAGAATCTGGGAGCAGTGGAAAAGCAGCTGGAAGACGTCCAGCAGAAAATTCAGCTGAATGACTTGGGAAGGAGCCACGTGGGAGGAAGTGAGCAGCCCGGCGCTCTGGGGCGGTCATTCCATTCAATTCCATTCATTCATGTGCCTGCCATCCATTCATTCACAAATCCATCTGAAGTGATTACTATGTGCTAGACAGACACAGCATTAGGGACTGACACAGCAGTAGGGACAGACAGATGCATCCCTTGCCCTCCTGGAGCTTATGTTCCAGTGAGAGAATGATAGGTTGAACAGATAATCCAATGTTGCTTAAAATAACACGTTATCACTGACTGACGCAGCTTAGTTATAACACAGACTCTCTCCCGTGTTGCTATGGAGTTGCTTCCAACTCACAGCTGGGTTTCCGAGGCAGTAAATAAGACAGGGTGACGCTGTCAGCTTTCTGTTGTCCTTCTGTGGTCTCCCCATCATGATCTCCCCACCTGTCTTCCCTGTGTGAATTCTCTCCCTGTCTCCCCTGTCTCATCTTCACCTTCCACCTTGGTGCTCCTTCCTTGGTGTTCTTCTTCTATGACCTCCAAGCTGGTCCTGCCACCTAGTCCTCCAACCTGGGCCTCTATCCTGTCCTACCACCTGGGCCTCTATCCCTGACCTCCCACCTGGGCCTCTAACCCTGACCTCCTACTCAGACCTCTCACCTGGGCCTCCATCCCTGACCTCCGACCTGGGCCTCCATCCCTGACCTTCCACCCAGACCTCCGACCTGGGCCTCTATCCCTGACCTCCCACCTGGTCCTCCATCCCTGACCTTCTACCCAGACCTCTGACCTGGGCCTCCATCCCTGTCCTCTACCCAGACCTCCCGTCCTGACTGCCCTCCCTCCTCCCCTCGTCCTCCTTGACTCTCTTCCAACAGCTGACGAATGGCAGATGCGGTTCGACTGCGTGCAGATGGAAAACGAGTTCCTCAGGAAGCGTCTCCAGCAGTGCGAGGAGAGGCTGGACTCAGAGCTGATGTCCCGGAAGGAAGTGGAGCAGAAGGTGAGGGGCGGTGGACCACCGGGGCCCTGGGGTGTCGGGGAGCAGGTGGCTTCTCGTATCCGTTGAGCGTGCTCAAGGCACTGGCCACACCTGGAGGGGACAGCAGCCTTCCCATATTTACTGTCACGACAAACGCTGGCGACAGTGGGGCCAGGAACGCAGTCCTTCATGTCCAGGTGAAAGTGGAGTGGACGCCTTGTGGGACGAGAACATGAACAGACCTAGCTCCGGTCGTCTGAGCTCCAGTTCCTCCTCAGTCTTTAGGAAACCACCTCACCTATTGGGCTGCAGATTTCTCACCTGTCCAGTTAGGGAGCACTGGTGGCCTAGTGGTAGGAAGCTGTACCGCTGACCCAAAGGCAAGCTGTTCAAATCCACCAGCTGCTCCAAGGAAGAGAGTTGGGCTGTCTCCTCCTGTGTGACTTACAGCCTCTGAGAGATGGACAGTCTCTTCCTGTGTGATTTACAGCCTCTGAAAACCCACTGGAGGGTCAGCTGTGAGTGGGATCTGACTTGTTGGCACATAATACCAAGGACGGCAAAGTGTCATCTCTCATACTTTGGGCATGTTGTTAGGAGAAGTTACTCCATGGCAAAGGACATCATGCTTGGGAAGTTGGAGGGTCAGTGAAAGAGAGAAAACCCCCAGTGAGATGGATGGACAGTGACTGCAGCAGTGGGCTCAAGTGTGTCAGAGATGATGAGGACGGCGCAGGACAGGACAGGGCTCAGAGCCGTTGTTCACAGGGTCACATGAGTCGTACGCAACTCAATAGCTCCTGACAAAAATTATTATGCATTATTGGACTTACTTGATTTTCTCTTGGTCTCTCCCACTACATGAAATGCCCAAGAGTGAAGGTCACATGTACCTGTCTTACTTTTATGTCCTGTAAACCAGCCCATGGCAGACCCTCTGCTCTGTGTCAGAGCAGAATTGTGCTCCTTAAGTTTTCAACAGCTGGTATTTTTAGAAGGAGAAAGCCAGGCCTTTCTTCCATGGTACCGCTAGGTTGACTTGCGGGTTGAACATTTTTGTTAGTAGGTGAACGAATTAACCACTTGCACCACACAGGGAATCCAGAGTAAAGTGGCTCGTGGTCACCTCGCAGCCCCGCCCCACCCCCTCAGCTAGGTGGACAGGGATTTGATAAACTTTGGGAGCTGTGACAGCGAGGCTCAGTGCCCTCTGTGGTGACCACGGCCACTTCTTAGTGGTCACCTCAAAGGTGCACGTTGCACTGTGATCCTTGGGAAGCCTTCTGAGCTGTAGATAAGCACAGGACAGCCGCTGAGAAGCCACCCCGTTCTTCAACAACAAATTACCGAGTCGGGTCAGTCTCCCCAAGGAAGGGAGGAATCCAGACTACATTAAAAAGTAATAATACGGCAACTTTTTTTTCTTCTTTTTTCTGAGCAGCAGAATGTAAGAAAACATCTCATTTGCCTTCGCATACTGACTTTAGAATTACAGGCTTCATTAACTCGGCGTTTTGCTTATTTAAAGCAATTCTTTAATGAGGCCATTCCTTCAAAGTGAGGGTGCTGAGAGATGCACTCTTTCCAGAGTCAAACTAGGACATCTGGGAGGACATTTCCTGGAGGAAGACATGATGCCAGTGGCCGGGCCCAGCTGGGCTGTTTGTTTAAGGCTGCAACTCCTGTAACTCAGCCCAGGGGATGCCAACCTACTGCTTTGACTTTCAGGGTCTGCCCTTGGAGGGTAGGGATTTCCTGGTCACTTTTCTGGCTGTGCCGTTTTGGCCACTCACTTGATTTCCACTCATGATGACCCCGAGGGACACAGCAGAAATGCCCCATCAGGTTTCTGTCTTATTCTCCAGCAACGTTGCTGCCACAAGATGTACCACAAGGGTGTGGCTTTGTCAAACAGAAATGTCCTCTCCTACAGTTTAGAAGTCTGTTGCTGTTGTTGTATGAGTCAGAAATAACTCACAGCTCACCCTCCAGTGGGTTTTCAGAGGCAGTCAATTGCACAGGAGGAGGTGACCTGTCCTCCCGGAGAACAGCTGGTGGATTTGAACTGTGTCCCTTTGAGATTGTAGCACTGTTTCTTACCACTAGGCCACCAGAGCTCTCTGGAAGCCCTAATTCACGATGCCAGCTCTAGCAGAAGACCTGTTGGCTCTGGAGGAAAGTCCTTATTTCCCCCAGCATCTGTAGGTCCTGTTCTCCCTGGAGATGTCCGTGTGTCCTGACCTTCCTGAGTGCCAAACAGCTTCATTGTGCAGGACCCTGGGTGCAAAATAGAAGCACTCCACTCCTGGCGATTCCTTGATGGTACTGAAGGCTCTAGAGTCAACTCTTTTTTTCTCCCCATTTCTTTTTTATCCCTAATGAGATAAAAAGTGTCAGAGACCACACCCTAGAGGAGTTTCCCTTCTATCCAATTAGGGCTGTGATGGGTTTAGGACGTCTTTCATTCCACGATTCATCCTCTCACAATTACTTGGTTTCTCGGGATCATGGGGGCCCATTCCATGGCTTCCATATTATGTCATGACACATATTTATGTAGGGGGATGCAATTTAATCCATGATAGGCCCCACAGCTGTGAAATCTTTGCTGACACCAGCTGTTGTTGTTGTTGTTGTTACGTGCCGCCGAGTCACCTGCGACTCATAGCGACCCTATGTACAACAGCCCTAAACTCCGCTCTGTCCTGTGCCAATCGCACTGTCTCTGACACTCCCATCCCAATTATCCCAGTCACTGAATCAATCCACCTCATAGAGGGCCTTCCTCTCCTGCTCTGTCCCTCCACCCTCCCAAGCATGGTGTCCCTCTCTAAGGACCGGTCTCTCCTCATAACATGTCCAGAGTATGTTAGATGGAGCCTCAGAATCCTTGCCTCCAAGGAGCAACCCGGTTTAACCCTTTCCAGGACAAATCTGTTTGTTTTCCTAGCAGTCCATGGTATTCTCAATACTCTTCTCCAGCACCACAGCTCAAAGGCATCAATTCTCCTTCTATCCTCCTTGGTCATTGTCCAACTCTCTGATGCATAAAAGGTGATTGCGAAGACCATGGCCTGTATCAGACGCACCTTAGTCTTCAAAGAGATACCATTGCTCTTCAGCACTTTATAGAGGTCCCTAACAGCAGACTTTCCCATGGCAATGCGCCTTTTAATTTCCTGGCTGCTGGTGCCAAGACTGTTGACTGTGGAGCCAAGCAAACTAAAGCTGTGTACAATCTCAATCTCTTCACCATCCATCCTGATGCTGCCAATTGGTCCAGTGGTGAGAATCTTTGTCTTCTTGACATTGAGCCTCAATCCATATTGTAGGCTGCAGTCCTTGACACTCTGCAGCAGGTGCTTCAGGTCCTCATCAGTTTCAGCAAGCAGGGTTGTGTCATCCGCATAACACAGACTGTTGATAAATCGTCCACCAATCTTGACCCCACATTTCTCCTCATAGAGCCCCGCCTCCCGGATATTTATCCTGCTCAGGAGATGGTGGGTTCAAACCACTCCCTTCTCAGTTAGCAAGTGAATGCCTAACCCCTCCACCACCAGATTAACTCCTCCGGAGCTCCACATGTCATACTGATGATATTCACCATCCAGTGCTCATGCAAAGACTCTGTGGGTGTGTTGGCCAGGGAGTAATCAAGGGGAGAAAGTCAGAACCACCCTAATAGTTGATCGGGGACTGGATGGCATGAGTGGTTTGTGATGGGCAGTGTCAAATGGGTGAGGGCAGCAAAGAGACAGCTGTGTCTGACCTCTGCCAGTTGCCCACGGGGGAACCGTCTGCATCCACAGCATCTACAACACAAAACTGGTTCCCTTGTAGTCAGACGTACCCCCTACAGTCCTGCTCCAACACCAATTCTGTTGCTCCGTTGTTTTTTTTGTTGTTGGGTACCATCCAGTTGAGAATGACTCATAGCAACCCTATGAAAAGCAGATCTGAACCCTGGCCTGGCCTGTGTCGTCCTCATAATCTCTGACACACTGGAGCCCATTGCTGCAGTCACTGTGTCATTCTACCTGGTTGAGGGTCTTCCTCTCTTTCACCATCCCTCTGTTTTCCCAAACACGATGTCCTTCTGCAATGAATATCCTCTCCAAGAAACATGCCCAAAGTATGTGAGATGAAGCGTTATCATCTCTGCCTCCAAGGGGCACTTTGGCTGCACCTTCTCAAGGACTTATCTTGTGTGTTCTTTTGGAAGTTCGGGAGAAATTCAGTACTCTTCTCCAGCACCGCAATTCAAAAGATCTACTGCTCTATGGGGTCTGAAATGAGTTGCATTAACTACACAGACCTCACAGACCTGTACTCAGGATGATGGGGTTTGTTAGGGAAGTTAACAGGTAACAACTCAAGTTGGCAACAGGATACAATTAAGTGAGCCCTTGAGCCTTGGGGCTTTAGGCCAGTGTTACAAGCTCTTTAGTCTTGGCAATTATGACATCTCCCCACCTCATCCTTTAACCAGCTTGGGCAAAGGCCGCTGGCTCTGGCTCCGTCGGGCAGCAGTCCATGGTCAGCTCCGTCTTCTGTCTGGCCTCTGGTTCTCCTCTGTGGCGGCTGCTGCTCACCCATAGGCCCTGGTCTGAGTGGTGCAAGAATGTCTCACCCAGAAACACTTGCACGTCATTCTCTGCTTCTCCCTTGCTGGTAGTGAGAGTCCCACTTCTGTGCCCTTGCACCTACTCAGTTTACACCTGACGGAATGGCAGAAGCTGTCCAGTCCCTTCCGAGAAAAACTAACACACCCCTCCTGGGTGTTCCCATGTGGCAACAAAGTCAAGGGCAGCGGCCGAGGAAAGGCATTTTGAGCAATAGATCTGCTACATACACCACAGGCAGCCAAACCAAAGGGTAGCCTGGGAAAACTGCTTCCATTAAAGTTGTTGTTGTTATGTGCCATTGAGTCGCCTGTAACTCATAGCGGCCCTGTGTACAACAGCCCTAAACCCTGCTCTATCCTGTGCCAAACTTATTGTCTCTAACACACCTGCCGCCACTACCCCATTCACTGAGTCAATCCATCTCACCCAGGGTCTTCCTCTCTTGCACTGTCCCTCCACCCTCCCAAGCATGACATCTCTCTGTAAGGACTGGTCCCTCCTGACAACATGAGAAAATTCTCTTTGGTTGCACTTGGGGTTGCCATGAGGAGGGGCTGTCTCTCCTGCTCAGAAGAAATTAATGGAATTGTTCCATTCTCTTTCTGAGCAAATGGAGGCTCAGAGCAAGGCTTTTCTTTCTGCTCTTTTTCTTTTTTTAAGGAAATGTATACTTTATTTGGTATTAACAGGTTTGAACATACTTTTTTTTAAAAAAAAAATTTCCATCTATTCATGGTTACACATTTTCCTCCCTGTCCCCTCTCCCGCCTAGTTCTTTTTCTTAGTTCTTTCATTATTATACAGTCCCTCCCACCACCACCACCACTTTACTGTGCAGCTCTTATTCTGGACTCTAATCATGCCAGTAATACCTAATCATATGCTCCTTTTATACAGTTTTCTCCCTCATCTGTTTCAGTGCTGTGTACATTATTTATCCCCTTTCTTCTTAGTTTCCCCCAGTCCCCCATATCAGTCCTGTTTTATAACAGTGGCATTGTACAGTATATTTGTCTTTTTGTGACTGAGTTATCTCACTCAGCATAATGTCCTCAAGGGTCACCCATTTTGTATAATATTGCATGAGTTCTTTGTTTTTCAATGCAGAATAGTATTCCATTGTGTGACTATACCACAGCTTCTCTATCCATTCGTTTGTTGATGGGCACTTAGGTTGTTTCCAACTCCTTGCTATTGTGAACAAAGCCGCAATAAACATGGGTGTGCATATATCTGCTTGGGTGGCTGTTCTGGTCTCTTTAGGATATATTCCCAGTAGTGGAATTGCTGGGTCAAATGCTATCTCTATTTGCAACTTTTTGAGAAAATGCCATACTGCCTTCCACAGTAGTTGCACCATTTTACACTCCCACCAACAGTGAATAAGGGATCCAGTCTCTCCACAACCTCGCCAGCATTTGTTGCTTGCTGTTCTGTTAAATTTTGCTATTCTGACTGGGGTGAGATGCTATCTCATAGTTGTTTTGATTTGCATCTCTCTTAGAGCTAGGGATTCTGAACATTTCTTCATGTGTTTGTTTGCCATCTGAATGTCTTCTTTGGTGAAGTAGAGTAATGCTTTTCTAAGGTGACCCAGGTGGGAAGTGGCCAAGACCAACCTCTAGCTCCAGGGCCTCTCTGCTTCCCGTAACACCCAGCTGAGAGGTGAAGTGTTTGGAAGCAGCACAGGTAACAACACCCTGTCCAATTCCCACAGAGGTGGGTAATTCTTTCTGTTGCCCCCACAGCTGGAGAAGCTGCAGCAAGCTTATGAGGAGGCCAAGAAGACGGCTCATCAGCTGAAGAGGAAGTGCCACCACCTGACCTGGGACCTGGAGGACACCCGTGTTCTGCTGGAGAACCAGCAGAGCCGCAACCACGAGATCGAGAAGAAGCAGAAGAAGTGAGTGGTGCACGGTCGCGTCGGCGGGGGCTCCCTGGGGGTGTGCACGCTGTGCTTCGGTGCCAGATTCATAGAGGCCCTTCCCTCAGTCCCACCGCCTCAGTGGGGCCTCCTCATTCAAGGGCTTGAGCCTCTGCTCTCTGCTAATTACCCTCCTCCTTCCCATCTCTCTCCCTCTCTCTCTCTCTCTCTCACACACACACACATACACACACAGAGAGAGACATCTATAGCCTTCGGTCTTGGAACCTGTGCTAATTATCCTCGTCACCCCATCACACACACTCACACATATACACTCCTTCCAGGGCCCTCCTGACTCACGACAGTTAAGTGTTCAACTTCTAAAGGAAAGGTTAGCAGTTCGAACCTCCCCTGTCACTCCACATGGAAAAGACCTGGCCGTCTGCTCCTCCTAAGATCCCAGCCTAGAATATGCTGTGGAGTACTTTTACACTATCACATGGGGCGTCTGGGAGTCGAACATTGACTTGAGAGCACCCAGTAACAACGATACACACGTCTCTTGATCCGGGAGGGTCCCCAAAGATGCAGCAAGTGGGCGTCATGTTCTCTCCCTCAGCCTCAGTTCTGCTATAGTCAGCCGTGGGAGCTCCTGGCACTTTCCTGGCCTCTCTGGAGCTCAGCATCCCTGTTTGCCAAGGGCAGGGTTTGCTGTGATGGGTACAGGAGACACAGCACATGGTTAGGACCAAGACTGAGCTACCCAACTGTGTCTCGTCCTTGTATGACCTTGGCCAGGTCATCCAATCTCCATCCCTCCTGCCCCGAGATTCCTTACCAATGGGCTGGAGGGGGCGTTGAAAAGGCTTCCTTGTGATGAGGACTGAGGGGAAGGGTTGGCATATCCAAAGTGACTCACATTTCCAGGAGATCATATGTGATCATGCCAACCCTGTCCCCACTTTCTCCCAAAGAGTGGGCAGTGGGTTCCAACCTCTGACCTTTTCCTTAGCAGCCCGATGGTTTAACCACAGTCTCACCAACCTTGGAAGCCCTATGAGGCTGTTTTACTCTGTCCTAAAGGGTGACAATAAGATTTGGGATCAACCTGATGGCTGTTGGTTTTGGTTTTTAACATCCCTGTGTTTGAAGGTAGGGAAAAGAATGAGGAGGAGGAGGAGGAGGCCAAAAGCTGAACAGCTATATTCTTTTCATTTGAGTCCGGGACTTAGAGATCGTCGGAATAATTCTGCCAGGATCTGGACCTTGTGCACAGCAAACAAGATGTCAATCTTGAATCAGGACGCTGGTCCCAAGAGTGGCTTTCTTGTTGGGGAACTGTCCCAGGAGGAGAATCAAGTGGAACTCTTGTGTATGCCACGGTCTTCTTTATGTACAGCCTCAGGGCCTATGGGTTTTACCCTTTGATAGAGCAGATGTGTTTAGAGTTCTGTGGCTCATTTGGTAAACATAGAAGTCGGCAAGTGCCTTGTCCTGAGCCAAACAACCCTAACAGAGATCTCACAGGAGAAAAATGGTAGCTCTGGGGGCCTAGTGGGTAGGGAGTTGCACTGCCAAGCTAAAGGCTTATGGTTTGAATCCCCTGGCTGCTCTGTGGGAGACACGTGGGAAATCTTCCATGTGGTTTCCCTCAGCCTCAGAAAACCCACTGGAGGTTCAGCTATGAGTCGGTTCCAACTTAACAAGAGTGACCTTGAGTTTTTCTGAGTTTTTTTAGTAAAAGGATAAATAGAAGAAATGCAGCCATTTCTAGAACATCAAGAATACAACACAGAAAACATTATAGGAACAGTGAGATTTTGCCACAGAGATTGTCATGGGAGAAAGCACAGACTTGCACTTGATTTCCCTTAAGTAGTATGGACAAACAGTTCCGTCCTGGAGAGGGTGAGACCAGTCTGCTCCTTGGAGGCAAGGATTCTGAAGCTTCGTCTGACATACTTTGGACATGTTGCAAGGAGGGACCAGTAGTCCTTGGAGAGGGACGTCATGCTTGGGAGGGTGAAGGGACAGCGCGGGAGAGGAAGACCCTGGATGAGATGGATTGATTCATTGACTGGGGTAATGATCGGGGGCGGGGGGAGTGTCAGAGACAATAAGATTGGTACAGGATAGAACAGGGTTTAGGGCTGTTGTACACAGGGTCACTGAGACACAGGCGACTCGACGGCACATAACAACAACAACAACAACAACAACAGTATTTATTTCATTTATCCTTGAGCTTTCTTGAACTGATTTCTTAGGAAGAGAATCATCCTTTGGGGGGTGAAGTTTACAGTTCTGTGGTAGATTGTTGCCTTCCACGTGGAGGCTGAGGGTTTGGTTCCTGATCAGGGCAGTCATGTCAGTGGAAGCCTGCAAGGCTGTTCTAATAAAGAACAGGTTTCATCAGAGCCTCCAATCTATGAGATGAGGAAGAAAGGCCTGGTGGTCTCCTTCCAGGATGCAACCAGGGCAAATTCTGGATTGCACGGGTCCACTCCACCACCGGTCACATCAGCGTGGAGCAGGACCAGCAGCTTTTGCATGTCACTGTGGATGGTGTCTCCCTGGGTGGGCACTGATGCAAAGGCAGCTAACAACAACATCTGTCGTATCATCTTCCTTTGCTCCCCTCGTCCCATCCCTGTGGGTGCTGTGGTCCCACACTTGACCCTTTACAGCAGGGAAAGCAGTGCTCCCATGCCTTGCCCACTTGCTGTGTGGCCTTGTGAAGTGACCTGGCCTCTCTGGGCCTTGCCTTCCCATCTGCAAAGTCAGAGGTGTGGACTTCAGCCTCTCCTATGTCTGTTTACAGCTGTATCCGTGTTGGTTCTCACCAGCGCTCCTGTTCCGAAACAGTTTAGGAGAGTTTGTGTCACTGAAATATTCCACGTCGCTGGCCTTCCCACATGCCCTTGGGCAGAATCAGTCCCTCATTCTAGATTCTGAAGAACCTTCCCATGATGTCCCGCTGGGGAAGGCCCTCATTCTTCCCACGCTTCCTCCTCCTGAACGCTGACCGAGGCTGCGGTCCCCCCAGGTCTGCTGCCAGCTCTTGGAAGAAACTCCTATTTGTTCAGATGCTAATTGCAGATGGCAGCTTGGGGTGTTATTCCTTCCAAGTGATTTAGCGTTTAACTAGGGAGCCGGTGAGGGAAGCAGAGTCTCAGTCTGATGGTAGAAATCTCAGCAAGAACGGTTATGGGGAGGGAGAGATCGAGAAGTCAGAAACCCGTCCCGAGAACTCTCTAAATGCCATCGGATCCCTCGTTGTTGGTTCGAAGCCGGAGCCATGCCTCCCTTCCCTCGTTTCCCACCTTACCATCCAAGTTCAAAGTGATTCCAAATGGCTACAATTTAGCTTGGCTTCCTGTTACCATGGCTACCATGAGAATCATAAAGCTCAATTCCAGGGGTTGATGGAATGCTGGGCTCACTTCCCCGGGGTAAGCCGTGGCCTGGGGTCCCTGACGTCCCCAGTCACGGGAGGCTGGACCTCAGGCCCGTTCTGAGTGCAGGGGTGGGTGGCGGTGGGACATCTGCCCCGCGTGGCTGTCGAGGTGGTGTGTTCTAGAAGACAGGGTCTGTGAAAGCCATTCAGTGACGTCGATTGTGCCTGCCACATCCAAACATACCTCTGGAATATGAGTCACTCTCCGGCTCCCACCGCCTTGCTCCCCCCGTCCTGGGTCGGGAGATGGGAGAATTGCCAAGACAGACGAGACTACTTCCGCCCCTTTGGGGATTTTTGGTTGAGTCACTGTGACTCTCTAACCTTCTGTTTCATCTTCTGAAAAATGAGTAGAGTATCCTTCTTGCTGAATCACTATAAGCACTGAAGGGAGCTCTGGTAGCCTAGTGGCAAGAAGCTGCACTGCAATACTAAGGGCACACAGTTCAAATCCACCAGCCGCTCTGCGGGAGAAAGATGAGCAATCTCCTCCCATGTAATTAACTGCGTCTGAAAACCTGCTGGAGGGCCAGCTATGAGTCGGTTCCACCTTGACGGTACACAACAACAACAACAACAACAACATGAAGATTGAATGGACCTTACGGGCACGCTGGTCTGATGGACCATCATCGTCACCACCACCACCATCATCATCATCGTCATCATCACCACTATCATCATCGTCATCATCACCACCACCACCATCATCATCATCATCGTCACCACCACCACCATCATCATCATCGTCATCATCACCACCACCACTATGTTTCCATTCAAAGGAAGAACATAGAAACCTCTTAAATGTCACCAAAAGTCAACCAGCAAACTTCTGGCTGTCCCAACAGTTGGACCTCATGCCTGGCTTTGTCTAGTCCCAGCTTTCTGATAACCCCTCCAGAGTCGGGGAGCCCTTCATGGGACACCCGAGCCCTGTGCCTCGTTTTGTCATTCTGGCCGCAGTCAAGTCCTGACAGGCACTGGGGCTTCCGGTTTGGGCTCAGAGTAAAGGAATCCGAGTCCCAGCCTCTTGAGGCTTGTCAAAGGCTTCTCCGTAGAGAAGGCAGAAGGTGGGGACAGCTGACTGGGACATGGTGACATAGGCAGCTCTTCTCACCCACAGAGATCATCAGGGAGAGAAGGCAAGCCCTTGACCTTGTGTGGCTCTGAAGAGCTCTCAAGGCTCCATATGCTTCGTGAGAGACAAATGAAACATCCTTAATCATGTATGTCCATCACCGTGGCATTAATTATGCTTCAGTGTGGTTTCTGACTGCTTGAAACCCAAAGGAGTTCCACTGTGAGCTGGAACCCACTTGACAGGCAGCAGCAAGTGTCAGGTTTAAAGGCACAAAATACAGTGTCAACGTAGGAACTGTGCAGTGGGCTTGTGTGGGCTATGTCTTCATTCATCTGTCCAGAAAATGCTCACGTGGTGTCAAGCCTGGGCTTCTTAGAGAGATGAAGGTTCTAGGCATATGGTAGCAAACTAGGTCAATCGTTCTTGTTGTTATGTACTGTCAAGTCACTTTCAACTCATAGCGACCCTACGTCCAACAGCTCTAACCCTGCTCTATCTTGAGCCAACCTCATTGTCTCAGGCACACCTACCCCCATCACTCCAGCCACCAGCCACTGAGTCAATCCATCTCATCCAGGGTCTTCCTCTCTTGCCCTGTCCCTCCACCCTCCCAAGCATGACATCCCTCTCCAAGGACTGGTCCCTCCTTGCAGCGTGTCCAGAGTATGTCAGATGGAGCTTCAAAATCCTTACCTCCAAGGAGCAGTGAGCTTTCACCCTCTTTAGGACAATACTGGTTGTTCTGACAGTCCATAGTATATTCAGTACTCTTCTCCAGCACCACAGCTCAAAGGCATCAATTCTCCTTCTATCATACCTAGTCACTGTCCAGCTTTCTGGTGCACAGCAAGTGATTGTGAAGATCATGGCCTGGATCAGGTGCACCTTAGTCTCCAGCCTGACATCATTGCTCTTCATAGATAATAATATTTTTTAATTACTATATGATCATGCAAATTATGCAAGCGTTATATATATATATATATGCAACAAGCACAGCCCTCATTTATTAGTTTGCTCTGTGTGCCATGTGCATTATATGTGCGTGTGAGTTAGATGTGTAAGTATGTGTTGCTTTTGTTTCAGAGTCTTAACAAATGTCTCCAGAATTTTGGAAAAACTCTTATGTGGACCTGAAGACGTGCTCCCTGGTTTCCCAGATCCCTACCATCTTTCCCTACCTTACATAAAAACATCGAGCCGATCTCCTATCATTGTGCTCTAAGCTGTCTGTCTCGCCCTTCTTCTCATGGTACTTTGCTGTATGTTCTCCTCTGAGCAGGTTTGACATGCAGCTGGCCCAGGCTCTGGGCGAGTCAGTGTTCGAGAAGGGCCTCCGGGAGAAAGTGGCCCAGGAGAACACCAGCGTCCGGTGGGAGCTTGGCAAGCTGCAGAAACAGTTGGAGGTAAGGGCGGAAGAACGTGGCACCACCTTGGATTTTTTTCTGATGGAACTTGGATGACACCCCGTCCCTATCCTGATACCATTTCTGCTGCCAACAGTGACAGGGAAGAAGCCCCAGGTGACAAGGCAGCTGGGTAGGATGCCTAGTCTGGCTTAATACTGCAGTGACTGGCAGGATGGGGCCTCTCTACTTGATGTCATGACCTTACTCACACCTTCCAACATGGCCGCCTGGGAGGGGGGAGCCATGGCTGACACTGAGTTAGCTCCAGATGGGCCAAAGCTGTCTGATTCCCAGAGACAACTTACTAGCCTGGAAATGTCATTTTTTTGGAGATGTGGCCTTTAGCTGACATCTTAATCCCAGCCTCCTGAGGCAAGCACTCCCTTACGTACCTTAGAGTCTAGCTGAATGGGCAATGGCCATGCTTTCCCAGCACCACCCTTCCCACTGCCTGTTCCACGGCCGACCCACAGGGGGAGCTGTGAGGGACCAGATGTAGGTGGACAATAGAACGTGGAAAGCCAGGTGCCAGGCCAGCCAGGTTCGTCTAGGGGGCCGCCCCTTATGTCACTCCAGATCTCTCTCCCTCTTTGTCCCTGAAGCAAAAGGAACAGGACACCTTGCAACTGAAGCGTGAGGTGGAGAAGCTACAGGCCCATAAACAGGAGCTGCTGGGATCCCTGCCTCTGGGGCAGAATGGCGTTGCTGGTTTAAAGGAGAAGCTCTGGAAGATGGAATCAAGTGCCCTCGAGCAGCAGAAAATCCAGAATGAGCAGGAAAACACCATCAAGCAACTGGAGCAGGTAGGAGAGAGCTGTGTGTTTGGGTGTGCGGGGACCAGTGCAGAGTGGTGTTATTCCACACGACACGGGCCCTTCCTCACCCATCCATGGGCTCCCTGTTACCCCAGGAGCACCTTATACCTTCCAATGTGACATCCAGATCTGTCATGAGCTAGCCTCTACGTCACTTCCTCAGAGAAACCTGTCCTGCTCACCTTCTTAAAAATAGCCCCCACTCAGTGTCCCGTTCACTCACCATCTTCTACTTCAGGCACAGTAGACAGTATTTTATTTTATTTCATTTTAATTTAATTTAATTTTGTGTGTGTGTACAGTCAAATCAGATCTGACTGGTACAGGAGGAGATTGCCCCTCCTTCTCCAGCAGAGCATCCGGTGGATTTGAACTGCATACCTATGGGATTGCAGTGCAGCTTCTTGTCACTAGGCCACAAGAGCTCCCTACGCAGATGTTATTATTATTTTTTTTTTTAGTAGACGTTATTTTAAAACAAATTCCTTGAGGCTTTTCTGCCCTATGAGGATAAAACTTCCACGAAAGCGTAGACTTTGTCTGTCTGTATTTCTAGAGCCAGGGACCCAGTTGGTGCTCAATAATTGTTGGTGCTCAGTAACTACTATTTATTGAGCACTTTCTGTGTACATGGGAGCTCTGGTGGCCTAGGATGTAGGAAGTTGTACTGTTTCCCCCAAACCGCACTTCTCTGCTGGTTCAAATCCCCCAGCAGCATCTTGGGAGAAAGACGGGCACTCTTGTCCTGTGTGATTTCCAGCCTCTGAAACCCTATGGAGGGTCAGCTATGAGGTGATTCTCATTGGATGGAAATGAGTAAAAATAGTAGGGTGCTCTGGTGGCCTAGTGAGTAAAGAGTTGCACTGCCAACTTAAAGGCTGGCGGTTTGAATCCGCCAGCTGCTTCATGGGAGAAAGATGGACCAAAAGCTGCTACAGGGTGAGCTATGAGTCAGTTCCGACCTGACAGCAATGAGAGAAAGGAAGAATTCTCACGAAAACGCAAACTTAGTGCCCTTGAATCAGAATTGACTCGTAGCTAACCCTCCAGTGGACTTTCTAGGGCTGTAAACTGCACAGAGGGGGTGATTTCCCATCTTCCTCCCACAGAGGTCCTGCTGGATTCGAACTAACCACCTTTGTGAGTTCTCAGTGTCACTCCCTATGGACTCTGCCACCCGCACTCCCTCGCTCTGTGTGCACATCTCTCTACGTACTATGCCACCGTGGCTCCTTTGACACCCACTAGAATGTTATTGTTATTGTTATTGTTATTGTGTGCCATCAGTCAGAACCGACCTATAGCTGATCCTCCAGGAGGTTTTCAGAAGCAGCTTTCACACACAGAAAAAGATTGCGTGCCATGGAGCAGCTGGTGGGTTCGAACCCCGTGCCTTCAGGATTGCAGTGCAGTTTCTTCCTCACCAATAGACTCCACCACTGCTCCTTCTACATACACTAGAATAGAAAGTTATAAATAAAACCATCCCAGCCAGAAAAAAAAAATAATACAAATTGAAACAGATCCTGACGATGAGCTGTTTGCAAGGAATTAAAATGCAAATCCACAAATTGGTCTTACACGCTGAATAATGTCGGCTCAGAAATTCCGAGTAGCCAGCGAGAAAAGGAAGCTTGAGCTGCATTATTTCGTTATCCTCGAGTTAAAAAAAAAAAAGCAAAAGCCAGCTTTTCAAAGGAAGCGCCGCTTCTCCCAGGGCTCAGCGTTGAAGGAATTTCCCACAAGGGAATTCGAGGGGGGCGGTTACTTTTAAACAGCAGCAAGACTGGGACCCCTGCCCCCTTCAAGAAAATCTGCAGACCACACAGAATGTGAGAAGAGAAGCAGGTGGTGCCAGGCAGCTGTGTTGAAGCAGGGACTGGGGGGCTGGGCACCAACCCGCGGCCCCCCCATTCCCTCAGGAATGAATCTGAGTATAAAGGCACAAAAAAGTGAGGGACAATGTCCGAGGGTGAAGGGACTGAGTTAGTCCCTGGGAGAGCTGACAATATCCTTACTCATGTGGCTCCTGTTTATTAAATATCTTGCAACTGAGTCAGGCAGGCGCCTGGGTGGCACAGTGCTTAAAGCTCTGGGCTGCGAACCAAAGAGCTGGGCGTTTGAATCTACCTGTGAGTCAGGGGAGAAAGATGTGGCGTCTGCTTAACGCCTTGGAAACACTATGGGGCGATTCTACTCCGCCCTGAATGGCTGAGAGTTGGAATTGACGCCATGGCCTTGGGTTTTGTTTGAGGTTTATGTGTCCCATAAGACATTCAGTGGTGAAACTAACCCCCCTCTCGTGTGGGAGATTTAAGTTTGAGTCCCAGCCATGGCACCTCGTCTGTCAGCAGAGGTTTGCACGCTGCACTGGGAAAGTCTGTAGTTAGGAACCTCTCCAAATAACTGAGGAGCAATGATGTTACTTTGATGACTAAGGTGCTCCTGATTCAGGCCATGGTCTTCTCAATCACTTGCTATGCTGCTGAGAGCTGGACAGTGAATAAAGATGACAGAAGAAGAATTGAGGCCCTTGAACTGTGCTGTTTGAGAAGAATACGGAATATTCCATGGGCTGCCCAAAGAACAGACAGATGTGTCTTGGCGAAGGTGCAGCCAAAGTGCTCCTTGGAGGCAAAGATGTCGGAGCATCATCTCATATACTTTGGGCATGTTGCTGGGAGAGGCAATATGATGTCTCCAGGACGTGCTTGGGAAAGTGGCACGATGGTGAAGAAGAGGCAGACCCTCGACCAGGTGGATTGACACAGTGACTGCAGCTATGGGCTCGAGGGTACCAGAGACGGTGAGGACGGCACAGGACATGATGGGGTTCAGGTCTGTTGTTCACAGGGTCGCTATGAGTCGTTCTCGTCTTGAAGTTCCCTAACAACAGCAAATCATCATCAGCCACCTCAGAGACCTCAGAGTGAGTACGGCTCCTTGATTTCTTGGCCTCCACGCGCGCATGAGATAAGGCTGACTCGGACTCTGTTCTTTGAGCTTCACCCTTCGACTCCCACTGCATTGAGCCCTTGACGACAGCCCGTAGATATTTACTGATGACAATAAGCACTTTTCCCGGAGAATTTTATGTTAACTCGTATAAGCCTGATATAAATGGTATTGCAGATGTAAGGAGTGTCCAAGCGTCTGGGGGTGGGGGATGCAAAAAGAAATAGTCTATTTCTTGGCCTGGGGTCCTGGGTTTTGAGTTATCTTCCCATAACCTCTGTCATTTTATAGGAAGGACGCTGGCATTTAATACGAAGGAGCCTGCCTTCTGCCAGGATCTATAGAGTAGAGTACGCTTTTTATGGGCGTCATAGCCCCAGGTCCCGCACCAGCTCTCATCAAGTTGATTCTGATTCATGACAGCTCCACATGTGTCAGAACAGAACGGTGCTCCGCTGGGTGTTCAGTCACTCTGGACATTTAGAAACCAATCGCCAAGTCTGCCTTCCAAAGTACCTCTGCATGGACTCGAACCATCAACCTCTTGGCTAGGAATACCTTTAACTCCTTGCACCACCAAAGATCTCCACTCATCCAACCTAGCAAGGAATATTGTTGTTACGTACCATCGAGTTGGAATGGACTCAGAGCTGACCCCTCCAGCGGGTTTTCAGAGGCTGTAAATCTCACAGGAGGAGATTGCCCATCTTTCTCCCACAGAGCAGCTGGTGGATTCGAACTGTGTGCCTTTGGGTTGGCAGCGCAGCTCCTTATCACTAAGCCACCAGCATATCCTAACAAGGAATATTACCAATTTTTAAAAAGACTAAGATTACTTTTCTTTTCAGTTTCATTTCCACGTTAGTTGTTGTTGTTGTTTACCATTGAGTCAGAACTGAGCCAAATGACCCTCTGGCGGGTTTTCAGAGACAGTTAATCACAGGGGAGGAAATTGCCCCTCCTTCTCCCGCAGTGATTGTTAATTTCTAAGGCAGGGAACCTTGAGAAGTTTGGGGAGAGGGGATAGAACAAAACAGGCGGAAAACTCCTCTTTCTGCGGTGTGAACCCGTCTACTCCACGGGCTCCAAGCGCTCCTCTTCACACCATAATGAAATTCCGCAAAATCTAGATTCTTCAAGTGTAGAATCTTCATGTAGGTAACAGACTTCTTTAAAGCTAGATTCTGTAAATACGCAATCTTGCACCCTGGGGATTCTGATCAACAGGTTTAGGGTGAATCTGGGGTTAGACTAATTAAGATTGAGAGTTTGATCTGATATTGTTGTTATGTGCCGTTGAGTTGACTGTGACTCATGGCGACCCTGTGTAATAGCTCTGAACCCTGCTCTGTCCTGAGCCTGTCTCACTGTCTCCAACACACCTAATCCCACTGCCCTAGTTACTGTGTCAATCCATCTCCTCCAAGATCTCCCCCTCCTGCACTGTCCCTCCATCCTTCCAAACATGATCTCCCTCTCCAAGGACTGGTCCCTCCTCATAACATTCCCAAAGCATCTTAGTAGGAGCTTCAGAATCCTTGCCTCTAAGGAGAAACTTGGTTTCACGCTCTCCAATGCAGACGTGTTTGTTCTCCTGGCGGTCTGTGGTCTGTTCAGCACTCTTCTCTAGCACCACAGCTCAAAGGCATCAGTTCTTCTGTCATCCGTAGTCAGCTCTCTGATGCATAACAAGTAACTGCGAAGACCGTGGACTGAATCAGGCACACCTTAGTCTCTAGACTGACATTGTTAGACTGCAAATTTTTTTAAAAAGTAGATTGGAGAAAGGACGAAAGTTATGCAAGTGTCCAGGTCTTTTGTTCATAGGGTTGCTATGAGTCACCTATTACTCGAAGACACTTAACAACAACAGCAGATTGGTGTTGGCAGCTGCCTTTGGGTCTCCCCTGACTGAAACACGGCCAGGTTCCATGCCATCTTCATGACCACTCATGTTTCTGCGTGTATTGTGGTGGTTGTTATTTTGTGGTGCCTTCAAGCACTATTTCAAATCATGCTGTTGTGATTAGAGTTCTCTCATTGGCATTTTTTAAAAAAGAAAATTTTTTTTACGATCTTATCTTTTAAATATTTTTTCTTTTTTATTGAGATTTTAATGAAAGTTTACAGAAAACTTTAATTTCCACTCCTTCATTGTTGCACGTTTTCCTCCCTATCCCGCCCCAGTTTGCTTTTGTCTTTAAAAAAATTATTTCATTGTTGCACAATATTGGCGAATTTTTTTGAAGTTTCTTGCTAGTCTCACCTTTCTAATCTTAGTCTAGCTGTTGCTCTGAAAGCTGTCTACCGTGAGTGACCTTGCTGGTATCTGAAACCGCTCTCTCTCTCTCTTTCCCTGTGGTAGAATCAGAACTGACTCGAAGCGGAAGCTGATCTATTAGTTTTCCAAGGCTACAAATCGATCACGTGGGAAGAGATTGCTCATCTTTCTCCCAAAGCGCTGAGGATGGATTCGAACCACTAGAGTTGCATGACCTTTAGTTAGCAGTGCTGCTCCCTACAGACTGTGCCACCAGAGCTCGCTGGTATTTTAAACACTAATGAGCGTAGCTTACTGTGTCGTGGTAACACCCAGACAGAGTGCAACCTCAGAGTACAACAGATAGGCCAAGCGTGTGAAATAATGCCAGTACACAAAGCTCGACAAGCAGGAGATTGAGAGTCAGTGTCTCGCTGATGCAGGAACTGTCTTAAGAGTCCTGAGAGCCCAGTCGTTAGGGAGTTGTGCTGCCCACCCAAAGGCAGACAGTTCAAATCTACTAGCTGCTCCACAGAAGAATGATGGGCAGATCTCCCGTGTGATTTGAAGCCACTGAAAATCCGCTGGTTGCTTAGCTGTGAGTCTGTTACCACTTGATGGCAATGAGTTTGCACTTTTTGAGTTTGATCATAAGATAGTTGCGTTCTGCAGAGAAAGGGCTGTGATCAAAGGGAAAGGGAACTAATAATGGCCCATGTGCCGTATTGGACAGGGAGCTTTGGTAGCCTAGTGACAAGGAGCTGTGCTGTAATCCTGAAGGCACACGGTTCAAGACCACCAGCTGCTTTGCAGGAGAAGGATAGGCAGTCTCCTCCCGGGCGATTAACTGCCTCTGTAAACACACCCGAGGGTCAGCTAGGGGTCAGTTCTGACCCTAAGGTACACAACCACCACCACCATGTTGGACAAGCCTCCCCTTTTCCTGACTTAAATAAACTCTTAGCCTGCCGTCTGTCCATCTCCCCATCCCTTCATCCATTCTTACAAAACTCCGTCAAGCACGGCTGCTCCAGGAAAAACAGATTTGCTTCACCTTTGGTGTTGAGAAGGATTCTGAGGTCAGTGGGAAGCAGTGGTTGATTAATGCTATCTGTTGTTGTTGTTGTGTGCCATTGAGCCAGAACTGACCCACAGCTGACCCTCCAGTGGGTTTTCTGAGGCAGTTTAATTTCATGGGCAGAGATTGCCCATCCTGCAGCTACAGAGCGCGTGGTGGATTCGAACCACCTGCTTTCAGGACTGCAGAACAGCTCCTTAACGCTAGGCCACCAGGGCTCCCTAGATATCTATTGTTGCTGTGTACCACTGAATCAGAACCAATCCATAGCTGACTCTCTGGCAGGTTTTCAGAGGCAGTTAATCGCACGGGAGGAGATTGCCCATCCTTCTCCCATGGAGCAGCTGATGGATTTGAACTGTGTGCCTTCGGGATTGTGGTGCAGTTTCTTACCACTAGGCTGCTAGAGCTCTCTAGATACCTACTGTTGTTGTTGTTAGGTGCTGTTGAATCAAACATGACTCATAGTGACCCTATGAACAAAAGATCTGAACTCTGTTCTATCCCTGCACCATCCTCACACTTCCTGACACACAGGAGCCCACTGTGGCAGTCACCTTGTCGAGGGTCTTCCTCTCCTTCACCGACCCTCCACCCTTCCCAGCGTCATGTCCCTCTCCAAGGAATAGCCCCTCCTAGCAACATGTCCAAAGTATGTGCTATCTAGTAGAACTGTGGAAAGGAATGGAGGTCATGTTGGGGCCACTTACTCACCATGTTTGGCTTTCCTGTTTGCTTGGGGTGTGGGGGAGGCACCCTGAGTCTGACACCACGACCTCCAGGCAGTTGGAATGGCAGTGCTGCCGTGGAGGACATGGGGTGTGGCAAGGGTCGCCCTCACGCCTCGTCCTTGCCGCCCTTCCCAGCTCCGCCAGCGCTTCGAGCTGGAGATTGAGCGGATGAAGCAGATGCACCAGAAGGACCGGGAGGACCAGGAGGAGGAGCTGGAGGATGTCCGTCAGTCCTGCCAGAAGCGGGTAGGTGTGCAGCCGACACGGGCAGCCCTTGGGGCCCTGGCGTGCTTGGTCTTGATGGGTTCTTCAGTGCGAGGACACAGCCAGGGTTCATGGACAGACAGATCTCTCTAACTTCCTCCTGAGACCCTGGCTCCCCGAGTGCTGGCGACCTCTCAAGACTGTGTCCCTCAGTCAACCTTTGAACTCAGAATGAAACTCACTCATGGCTCAGCTTTCAACCAAAGGTCCGTGGGATGACCAGTAACACCAAGGAGGTGCACACTCCTTAGAACAACAAACTATATAAGGTTAAAGGGGGAACAGTTTGTCCAGGGGTATGGTTCAGAAGGCAAGAAGGGGTAGGCGAAAAGGATTAGTGGAGATGAGAATCACAGGGAGGAAGCAGGAAGAATGGGCTGACCCTATGGAGATCATCATTATTTAATCCTGGATTAAAATGTGTGTGAATGGTTGAATGGAAAACTGATTTGCTTGGGAAACTTTCACTCAAATCACAAGTGAAAAAAACAAAGCTATCAAGAAGACACAGGAGCAGACGTTGTTGTTGTTGACTGTCATTGAGTCGAGCATGACTCATAGCAACCCTTTGAACAAAAGGCCTGAAGCCTTTCTATAACCATCATCATTTCTCCAAGTTCATAGTTTCCAGAGGCATGTGGTTTAAGAAGTGGAGGCCACTCCTGCTTCTGAAATGGTCCAGCAGGGTCTCCCTAAAATCCCTGCCAGAGCTCATAAGGCCAGATGACTGATGCGCTGGGTATGAATTTGGACGTTTCAAGACGGAGCCAAGTCCTTCTTATTTCTCTCAAAACTCAAACCATATCTTACCTGTTATTCAAGCTATTTGTAAAAAATTCGAACTGTGTATGAATGCAGTGAGATCTTGAAATGCTACTGCCTGAAACCATGACTTTAACTAATTTTAAATGTTCTATCATAACCCTGTTTTAACACACACACACACACACACACACACACACACACACACACACACACCCCTATTTGTAGTGACATCATCATACTTATATGGCGCAGGCTGCTTTCAACCTGCTGTTTCCACGCTATAGTTTGCTGTGGCCTCTTTAATAAATACTAATCTAAAGGAGCTCTGGTGGCCTCGTGGCAAGAAGCTGCACTGCAATCCCGAAAGCACACACTTCAAATCCACCAGCTGCTCTGCGGAAGGCTGGACACTCTCCTCCCGTGCCATTTACTGCCTCTGAAAACCTGCTGGAGGGTCAGCTATGGGTCGCTTCCGACTTGATGCCACGAAACAACAGCAATGGGCATGTTCAGTGGCTTAAGTGTCCCACGTACTTTACTATAAGCAGCATTCTCTGACCGTGGGCATTTTGGTTGTTTCTTTGAGTGTGGCCAGGGTTGAGAGAAGCCCATGACAGATGTCTTGACTGATGTGCATGTATGGTGAATTGTTAAGATAGCACCAATGGAAAGCTTTGGGTTAGACCTTATCCAGCAGGGCGCTTTACCTAAGGACACCTCTTGTGCATTTGGGAAGAATCATGAATATGGTGCAGGCCTGGGTGGCATCTTGCTCTGTTGTGCATAAGACCACCTGGCCTCAGGGCCCACCTGGCGGCAGCCAGCATCACCACCAGCAACACGCATATCCCAACAGACATCTAGATGGCAGGGCTGAGAGCCTGGCCTTGGAAATTCGTGCATTCTCACTTTGAACCTGGTCTTGCAATTTGTCTACTGTTTGGCTGAAATCTGAACCACGAGGAGGATGGGTGTCAGGCTCATTTTGAAATGCATTTGCTTCCTATGTGAGTGATTATCAACCAGGATTTCTTTTCTCTTCATGGACCAGGATACGGAAGCGAGTCCCCGTTTCAGATGAGGGTTGCACAAATCTCCAGCAATGTCCATGTGTGATGGTGTAGTCCATGAACCAAGGCTGCTGAGGGAAGTGGGAACAGGGCCCAACCAGATCTCCTGAGGCATTTGTGTGAACAGATTCATTAAGGGAGAGCGCAGCTTTTGTCCTGGTGACAGACACCAGCACTGACTCCTCAATCTAGTGGCTGCCCTGCTCAGTCTCCCTCTTACTCTGGCAGGAAATCAATTGCCAGTGACCTGGGTGGGAAGCCAGTAGATAGAGTTATAGTATCTTCAAGCGACTACTGCCCATGTCTATGACTCTGCACCTATCTGGGAATTACAGAGTCATTAATGCAACAGGCTTAAGAGGGAGGATGAAAGAAGGATACAAGAGATGCTGTGCAGCGGGGACAAACACAGCTTGTAGGGGGTGCACCCTGGCTGGTGCAAAGGCTTAACACATTCAGCTGTTAATCGGAAGGTTAGTGGTTCAGATCTGCCCTAAGTGCCTTGGAAGAAAGGCTTGGAAATCTACTTCTAAAAGCCAGCCACTGAAATAACTCTGTGGGGTACTTTTCTATACTTATAAACCCCTAAGATCACCATGAATTGGGGGTCACCTTGAAGGAAACGCCACTTTGGTTTTAAATTATTATTATTATTATCATCATCATTATCATTATTATTTGTATGTGTGTGTGTGTGTGTACTGTCAAATCAGATCTGACTGGTACAGGAAGAGACTGTCCCTCCTTCTCCAGCAGAGCATCTGGTGGATTCGAACCATGCACCTCTCGGATTGCAGAGCAGCTTCTTGCCACTAGGCCACCAGAGCTCGCCTAGGAAATACATTTTTAACTGGCCACTTGCCTGAGTTTGCTAAGTGAATGTGGAGAAATCAAGGCCAGTTATAAATCAGTGCGCTGCTTCTAGGTGAATAATCTCAAATTCTTTTTAAAAAGAAAAACAACAACGAAAAAGCCCACCCTGCAACTTGTTGCTATGAGGTGCTGCTGCTGAGCTCTGACACGTAGTGACCCTCTGCTCAACCGAATTTCTAGTCTGTTCGAGGCTGTTTACAAAGGCTGGCTTCTCAGATGTGAATTGCCAGATGTTTCTTCTAAGACATCTTGGTGGAGAGGGGGGACTCAAACTACCAACTCTCTGGTTAACAACTGAGAATGCTAGTCATGTGCCAGATCCTGTGTCTAAGCCCATGGTGGCAGTCCTTGTCACTGAAGCTTACTGAGTGGGGAGGGGTTCTTCTCATCAGCTCAGCTCACGGCTGTCATGTTGGGTCATATTCATCGCTGGCCCTTCGGTGGGTTCTCAGAGGCTGACACTCACATGGCAGGAGATTGCCTATCATTCTCCTGAGGAGCAGCTCTTGGATTTGAACCACCTCCCTTTGCATTGGCAGCTCCTTACCCACTAGCCTGCCAGTGCTCTGTCAAGAAGGGACGTGGATGCGTTAGAATATGTTGCATCTAATCCTGAGCAAGAGCAGAATACCAGGACATACAGTCAAAGGGGTCTAGGAGGGAGCGACCGCTTCTGATTGGGTGGGGACTGGGGAGGCGGGGCAACTGAAAGGGCTTCTTTGTAATTGGTCAGCTCCCAAGCTGTCATGCTAGCTCCTTAGATCTCCATCAGAGAGACCCCTGTCTAGTCATTGAGGTCCCTGAGCGGTTACAGATGGTTTGCACTCAAGTTGGCTGTTCGAATTCCTCCAGCAGCACCGCGGCAGTGTGAGGCATAAAGATGGTCATTAAGAAAACCTCCTGGGGTCATGCCGCCCGTTAGCACGTGGGCATAAGTTGGCAGTGACTCCATGACAGTAGGTCCCCATCAATAGAACAGGCCGTGGAGCTGGGCAAGGGGGCTCCAGCCCCACCTTCCCAAACCTCAGCGATCCCTGCCTCCTTTGGGGTGTCCAGGGGTCCGCAGTCACCTGACGCATGCATTTCCCCTCCCACCCGCAGCTCCGTCAGCTAGAAATGCAGCTGGAGCAAGAGTATGAGGAGAAGCAGATGGTCTTGCACGAGAAGCAGGACTTGGAAGGCCTGATCGGAACCCTCTGTGACCAGGTAAGGAGGGAGACACCAGCAGGAGATGGAGACGCACACTGAGCCCTCTTTGACGGATTCATGGGGCCATCAGCTGGGAGGGGTGCATCCCTGTCATCTTCAGAAACGACCAGGGAGCAGGCCTTCCACTGGCTACTCCCTCCTCCCTCCTCCCTCTAGAGCCTCCTTCCTTACTGACTCAGGCCATGCCCATACTCACTGGCTCTTCACAGGAGACCTGCAGATGTTAGCAAACAGCATGATTCCTGGCAGAACTGTTGCAGGTAACAGAGCTGGCCCAGCAAAGCCAGGCAGGTGCTGAGCACCCAAGAAGCCAAGGACAGGGTTGTCTTCTGTTAGGGGCTGTTGGGAGAGTGCAGACAGCCCTCCCTTTAAAGGTAGACACTGTGACATCCTCTGAGCTCGGGGCTCCGTCAGAGCCATGCATTTGCTAGACACAGCCGAGGGCCAGCCAGGTTGAGAGTCAGGCACGTCTAGCTTTAATCTTTCCAGGAGGCCCTGGGTAAACAGCTAAGCACTCCACTGCTGACCTAAAGGCTGGCAGTTCAAAAGCACCCAGAAGTGACTCAGAAGAAAGGGCTGGCGACCTGCAAAGCTCACAGTCTCATAAACACAATGGAGCACAGATCTGCTCTGCATACGAGGGGTCACCATGAGTCAATGTGAGCCCACAGTTCCTGGTGCTGGATGGGTGGAGGTGCTTCTGTCAGCATGGCTTGGGATGCCACGGCTTTTGGGGGCGCTGGTCAGTGCACCTGCTGGGGTCCTGGCCGTCACCGTGCACCGGTTTTTCCTCAGCAGCACGCTTGGTGGTTTGTAGCAGCTCATTCCGTGGTGGCGGCTGCTCTGTGCACCGAGGAATCTGAATAACGTCCTTGGCCTCTGCTCCTTAGATGCCAGCCGCAACCCACAACCAGCTGTGATGTTGTTGCTGTTGCTGTTGTTGTTGTTAGGTGCCCTCAAATCTACCATGACACATAGTGACCATCTCAGCAAGAGATCAGAACCTCGCCCTGTCCTGCTCCACCCTGACCGACCGTCTCCGATCTGCTCGAGCCCCTTGTTACAGGCACTGTGTCAGTCTATCTTGTTAAAGCATCATCTTCTCTTTCTCTTTCCCAACATGACGTCTTTTTCCAAGGGCTGGCCCCTCTTCGCGACAGCACGCCAGCTGTGATAGTAACACCAAAAAGAGGCAGACCTGACCCCAGGGCCCCTGAGGGGAAAAATATCAGCCCTCTCTCTTATTAATTCCTGTTGCTATCACAGAACAACTGGAACGCCCAGACCAATTTCTGTGTCCAGCATGAGGAGGGAAATGTCCTCTGTCCCCAAAGATTCTTCTGTATCACTGCTTCCAAGCACCTCACACTGAAGAGCGATGTTGTTACTGTTGTTAAGGACTATCGAGCTGGAACCGACGCCCTACCTGACCCTGCAGGGGGTTTTCAGGGGCAGTAAATAGCACTGGAGATGCCCCATCTTTTTCCCTGTGGAGCAGCTGGTGGATTTGAACTGTGTGCCTTCAGGTTGACAGTGCTACTCTTTACTGCTAAGGTACCAGTGAAGAGTTACAGTGTCCCCTAAAGTGCCTTAAGCAGGAGCAGGTCACCCCATTCCGCTAAAGTGTCTTAAGCAGGAGTGTTTCACCCCATGAGCAAGACAAGCCTGGGCTTCTTCGTACTTGCCAAGCTGCAGTGAACACGTTCACATGGGCGCTTCATGTTGTACAGAGAACGTGGTGAAATTGTTCACGGCAGATCTGTCAGCAAGCACAAGGCAGCCTGTGCTTAACTTGCTCACTGGGTACTTCCCATTCGCCCCAGAGGAATTGGAACTAGGCAAAGAAGCTTTGATTCTGTAGCAAGATGCCGTGAGGTTGCAGAACCTTTGATGTGGAGGAAAGACAGGAAATTGCTTGCTCCAGAGCCATAGGCATGATTAAGCCTCTGCTTACTTTGCTTTTTGGGTAATCTCATACTAGTTGTGGGAATGCATTTGCTTAGGAGACAACCATGATCTGTGATTTGTAAAGAACTTGGTATCAGTTCGGCCCACTGGAGGGTCAGCACCAAGTCGTTCCAGAACTACAGCAGTGAATTGAGTTATTAGCATCACTATTCATGTCCAAGGCCAACGCCTTTGTTCAGAGAGGAAAGAGGCCAGTTTCAGAGGTCCACAGGGGGCAGGTACACTGTGAACCAAGGAGGTTCACTGTTGGTTTGGGTCATAAGGGAGTGAGTGTGAGGACAGAGCCACAGTGATAGGGAGTGAGGCTGGAAGCAGAGGATCCACACAGGAGCTCTGGTACATTTCTCCGTTCCACAGGTTTCTCACAGCTCAGATGAGCAAATTGGAGTCATTGAGATTGTGACGTGAACCCTCACAATCTGGACTCCCCAGAGAAGGTCCTGTCCCATTCAGCTTCCTCCATGGAGGAAAGAAAGCTGGGGACCCCAATGCAGAAACGTTCTTACTCACAAAGCTGAAGGAGAAGAAAGGAGCCCTGGTGCTCTAGTCTACAATGTATGGGGCTGCTAACCAGAAGGTCAGCAGTTCAAATCCACCTGCTCCCCTGAGGCTAAAGGTGAACAGTCTTCTCCTGAAAAGGCTACTTTGTGGAGAGTCATTCTGAGTTGGGACTGACTCAGTGGAGGTGGGTTTTGATATTAAAGAAACTGTGGGCTAAGAGGAAAGGGGGTATTCAGATCTGGGCTCAAATACCAGCTCTGAATTACCACCAAGCTAGACACTCCTCATGCATTCTCACGCTTAGTGATTTTACATGTTCTCAATGACATTTATCCAAACATATGGAAAGGTTTCAGGAATGATGTAAGTGGCGCTTGCATACCAGATACCCCAGGGTGACATAAGTTAACATTTTGCCATATTTGATTCAGATATTTTTAAGAAAACTTTTTTTTAAAAAAAAAAAGAAAAAGAGTTGGTACCATCTTGTTGTCTTTTGCTAATCTTGCACTGATCTCTCTTCTGGTTTCTTTTTCATCTTTCCTTCCCTCCCTCCCCAGAAAGAAGCATTATCCTGAATATGTAATGTGCAATCCTACGTTGTCATTGTTGTTATTGTTAGATGCCATCAAGTCGCCTGCAAGTCATAGTGACCCTATGTCCAACAGCCCTAAACCCTGCTCTATCCTGTGCCAACCTTATTGTCTCTGACACGCCTACCCCCATTACCTTAGTCACTGAATCAATCCGTCTCATCGAGGGTCTTCCCCTCCTGCACTATCTCTCTATCCTCCCAAGCATGACATCCCTCTCAAGGACTGGTTCCTCCTTGCAAAATATACACAGTTATGTCAGACGAGGCTTTGAAATCCTTGCCTCCAAGGAGCAGCCTGGTTTCACCCTCTCTAGGTTGAACCTGTTTGTTCTACTAGCAGTCAATACTCTTCTCCAACACCACAGCTCAAAGGCATCTCTTTCTATCATCCCTAGTCATTATCCAGCTTTCCAGTGCATAGCAAGTAATTGCAAAAACTATGGGCTGAATCAGGCGCACTTTAGTCTCTAGACTGACATCATTGCAATCCCATGTAGGCATGCTTATACTTGAACCACATCCGTCACCTATGCTTCTGTACTCTGCTTCTTCCTCTTAATATTGTGATTCTCAGATTAGTTCCTATTGAAACATGTTCTGTGTACCATCAAGACAGAACCAACTCATAGCTGACCTTCCAATGGGTTTTCAGAGGGCGGTTAATCACACAGGAGGAGATTAACCATCCTGCAGAGCAGCTGGTGGATTTGAACTGTGTGCCTTTGGGATTATAGCATAGTTCCTTACCATGAGGCCACCAGAGCTCAGCTATAGTTAATCCATTGTCACTGCTTTGTGTTGTTAGCTGTTTTTAGGTGCTCTTGTGTGATCTGTGACTTAAGGGAACCTATAAGCAACAGATCTGAACCTTGCCCTGTCCTGTGCCATCTTCATGACCCCTCATCCTCAAGCCCTTTGTGGTGGACTCTATGGCAGTCCGTCTCATTGAGGATTTTCCTCTCTTTCACTGACCCTCTACCTCTCCCCAACACCATTTCTTTTTTCGATAGTCAGGCATCTTCAGAAACATGCCCAAAGGTGACATTTCACCATCCTTGCCTCTAAACAGTACGCTGGGTGTGTTTTCTCCAGGAAGGACTTTGTTCTTTTGGTAGTCCATGAAATAGTCAGCACAACAATTCAAAGACATCAGTTCTTCTCCTGTTGCCCTGATTCATTGTCTAACTTTCATAGGAAGTAATTGAAAATCCATGACTTAAACCAGGTGCACCTTAGTCTTTAAAGCTACATCCTTGCTCTTTAGAACTTTGGAGAGGTCCTTGACCACAGATTTTTCCCAAAGCAACATGTCTTTTGGTTACATGACTGCTGCTAATATGGGTGTGAATCATGGATTCAAGTAAAACACAATCATTGGCAGCCTCTTTCTACTCTTTTGGAGAAGTCTTTTGATGCCCATACAGATTTAATTTTTAGAAGGTCCCAATCGTCTATTTATCCTCTTGTTTGTGCCTTTTAAAGTTACATCTGACAGTCTATTTATGCCTCAGATAAGGCCCCTAAATTTGCTCCTATTTTTAAAAGAAAATGATGTATTTCGGTTTTATACTAGGTCCTCGATCAATCTTGAGTTAGGGGTTCTTTTGTGTATAATATAAGGCATGGATCTTGTTTTTGTTTTCTGCAAGTGGTTACCCCATTTCATCAGCATCATTTGTTAGAGAGGCTGTCATTTCCCCACCTCATGGGGAAATGACCTTTGTTAAAGGTCAGCTGTCCATTGGTGGATGGATTTACCAATGGGTTTTCAATTCTATACCCCTGGTCTGTATACCTGTCTTTGTACCTTTGGTGGTTTTTGCTATCACAACCGCTGAGTAGAGTTTGAGATCAGAAAGTGTAAAGTCTCCCAGTTTGTTTTCCATCTTCAGTATTAGGGATCTCTTTCCTTTCTATATAAAGTTGTTGATTT